TATATATGTTGAGTAGCCTGTGTTTGCCATTTCTTAAAACTATTGTTTCCTTAAGTTAGAATGCCTTAGTTGTTAAATCAGTGTTTAAATATGCATGTACTTTACAATATAGTCTGTGTATGAGAACTGGGAAAAATTATCAAAACTCATATATTCTTTAAATACTTACTAATAATAGTTTCCTATAAAATAAATACCACATTTCAGTATAGGGCTGTGATACATCTCATCACCTTGACTTTGCAGTCCCCTTTCAAGTAGTCCAATACCTGCATAAAATTCAACCCATGGTTAGATTAGTTTATGCTTATACTACTAAGTTTCTAATTTTTTCATGTGAACAAGAACTGTATCATAATTTCTGGTTAAAATTCGCCAATAAATAGCTAACTGATACAATATTAATTCACTGTGTTTAAAATTGATTCAGAAGGTACAAGTCTATAAACTGTCAACTCTCAGCTCATCTCTGACCACTCTGGTCTCCAGTGTGTGGAAAGCTCAGCAGAGTGGACTTTCCTCACATATCCGAAACTGTCCATTTCTCTATAGCTCCGTGGCCACTGCCCCAAAACCTGCCCTTGTCCTGTTATGCCACTGACTGAGAAGCTGTTCCCCCGAAATCCATTCTCATACAGGTATCAAATTCTTTTAAAGTGTAAATTGACAAACCCAGCATGATGGTATATGCCTGTAATCCCAGCACTCAGGAAACTGAGGCAGGAAGATCACCATGAGTTTAAGATCAACCTGTGCTACATAGCAAATTCTAGGCCAGCTTGAATAGAATAAAATAGTGAAACCTTGTCTGAGAAAAGCAAAACAAAATGTATGTCGAGGTTTTGTTTTTGTTTTGCAGAAAACCTTTGAATGTTCCCATTGCATTGGAGTAAAATCCATGCTCCTGGGCTGGGGATTTAGCTCAGTGGTTCCGGCACCTGCCTCGGGAGTGTAAGGGCCTGAGTTTGATCCCCGGTACTCACCCCCCAAAATAGCTGTGCTCCTTCCCATGGGCTACATGGCCACTAGCCCATCATTACCTCTCCAACCTTTCTGAGCTTTTCTGTTCTATCCCCTACACATCAGCCACATAGGCCAGACTGCAGCCCTGTGCATGCGGGGTCTACACTTCATGCTTACTATCAAGCCTTGTTTATCTTCAGCGTCTGCCCGCACAGGTTTGTCTATTACCTGTCTCTACTCCAGTAGGTTGGAAGTACATGAGGGCAGAGGCTGTATCTATTTGTGGCACACTTGTTTCCCCAGCACCTAAAACAGTACTTGGTCAACAAATACCTAGGCGTGTGCAGTGCCCCAGAGAGATTTGAGCTGATGCTAGCAGCCATCCTGCCCTCCTGACGGCATCCAGAGGAGAGGTGCTGGTCTCAAGGCCTGGCCCTCAGGGTCAGTTGGCAGTGCATGTCCCAGCCCATTTGGGTCAGGATTACACAGAGCTGCTCAGTTGCCTAACACACTGCTTCAATTTATTTTATCAAACAGCTTTCTAATTGTGATATTTAATAAAGAGAAAGAAGGTGCTGACAGAGGACCCAGTTGCCTTGTACCTTGGCACTTGGATTTATTTGATGTCTTGTTATGCTTTTTTAAAAAATTAAGTTTATTGGTACATTTTAGGTATACAGTTACATTCATCATTAGGATCTTGTACCTTTACATGATTTATCTTGGTTCTTATTTTTTCCCCATTCCCCAGCCCTCCCCTCACTCCCTCCATCCTTCCCTGTTTACAAAGACATTGTTTCCATGCTTTTCCTTTTCTCATATTTTTTCTTTTCCCTTTTTACCTTTCCCCTACTCCTCTCACTTCCCTTACTCTTTTAGACCTTTTCTTCCTATTATACAATATCAGTAATACATTTTGATCCTTATTTACACTTTTAATTTTTCACACCAGAGAAACTATTTATATTTACACCTGTGTGTCCTGTTTGTTTCACATAAGAGTATGACCTCTGGAGGGCAGGGACAAGGGGAAAAAATGAGAACCAAGACTTGTCATATAAAGGTACAAGATCTCACTAATGAATGTAACTGTACTGTATACCTAACATGTACCAATAAACTCAATGAAAGAAAAAAAAAGTATGGCCTCAATGTGCATCCACTTAGCTATAAATATGTGTAGTTTCTCATTCTTTATGGCTGAGTAGTACTCCATTTTATTACATTAAAAAAACCACACACATCTTTTTTGAGTCTCCAGTTGATGGGCAATTCTGCTGTTTCCAAGTCTTAGCTATTACAAACTGTGCCACTATAAACATGGGTGAGCATCACTGTGGTATGATTCTTTTAATTCTTTTGGGAAGGTACCTAGCAGAGGAATAGCTGGGTCAAATGGGACTTCTAATCCTAGTTGTTTGAGTTATCTCCATATTTCCACAGTGGTTGCACCAGTCTGCACTCTCACCAACAATGGAGAAGGGTTCCTTTCTCCCCATAATCCCACCAGCATTTGTTGGTTGATTTCTTGATAGCAGCCATTCTCTCTGGGATGAGGTGGAATCTAAGTGTTGTTTTCATCTGTGTCTCTTGAATGACCAGTGTTGTTGAACATTTTTAATATGTATCTGCTGCTTTTACTTCTTTGTCTGAAAAATGTCTTCATTTCAAATGCCCATTTTTGAATTGGATCTTTATATTTGGGGAGTCTGATATTTTTTAGTTCTTGATATATTCTATATAGTAGACCTTTGTCTGAAGAACAGCTGATACAAATTTTTCCTACATTGTAGGTTGTCTCAGCTCTGTTGGTGATTTCTCTTGCAGTACAAAAGCCCTTTAAAAAGATGAGATCCCTTGAGCCGGGAGTGGTAGCGCACACCTGTAATCCCAGCACTCGGGAGGCTGAGGCAGGAGGATCAATGTGAGTTCGAGACCAGCCTGTCTACATAGTGAGTTCCAGGTCAGTCTCAACTACATAGTGAGACCCTGTCTCAAAAAAAAAAAGAAAAGAAAAAGATGAGATCCCAATTGTTGATTCTTTGTGTTGGTTCCCATGCTACTGAGGATTTGTTCATAAAGTCTTTTCCTATGCCGATATCTTCAAGAGTCCTACCTAACTTATCTTCCAGCGAGTTTAGTGTTTCTAAATCTTTAGATCTTTAATTTACTTGGGTTTTAGTTTAGTGCATGGTGAAAGATAGGTGTTTAGTTTTAACCTTTGGCAAGTTGAAATCCAGTTTTTCCAACTTCATTTATTAAAGAGGCTATCTTTTCCTGCAGTGAGGGTGGTTGGCTCCTTTGTCAAAGATGAGGAAGCGGAGTATGTCTGGAGTTATTTCTGCATCTTTTAATCTATTCACTGATCCTCTGATCTTTTTCTTTGCCAGTACCATGCTGTTTTTATTACAGTGGCTTTGTAGTATAGTTTCAAGTTGGGGATTGTGATACCCCTCTGCCATGTCTCTGTTGCCTAGAATTGCTTTTGCTATTCTAGGTCTCTTCTTATTCCAAATGAATTTTTGGATTGTTTTTTCTTTTTGTTTAATTTTTTAAATTTTTTTATTTATTTTTTGGTACTGGGGATCAAACTCAGGTCCTTGTGCTGGCAAGGCAGGCAGTGGAACCACTGAGCTAAATCCCCTGCCCTGGATTGTTTTTTCTAGTTCAGTAAAATATACTATTGGGATTTCGATGGGGATTGCATTGAATCTGTATAGGTGTTTTGGAAGTACGGCCATTTTCACTATATTGGTTCTTCCTACCCAGGAATGGGATGTCTTTCCATTTTCTTATATCTTCTTCAATCTTTCTTCAGAGTGCTGTAGTTCTCAATGTAGAGGTCTTTTGCTTCCTTCCTTAGATTGATTCCTAGATATTTCATTTTTTTTTTTTGGATGCTATTGTGAAAGGGGTTGTTTCCCTGATTTCATCCTCAGTCAGTCTGTTATTTGTGTACAAGAAGACTATTGATTTGAGTGTTTGCCTTGTATCCAGCTACTCTACTGAATCTGTCAATTAAGTCTAGAAATCTTTTGACAGAGTTTTTCTGGTCTTTTGTGTAGAGTATCATATTGTTAGCAAATAATGACAGTGTAACTTCTTCCTTTCCTATCTTTATTGCTTTTATTTTTTTCTCTTGTCTAATTGCTGTGGCTAATGTTTCCAGAACTATGTTGAACAGGAGTGGTGATAGTGGGCATCCTTGTTTTGTTCCTGATTTTAGTGTGAAGGTTTTCAGTCTTTGACCATTTAGTGTTGGTTTTTCATAGATAAAATTATAAAATTATTGGTGTCTTGGTTAGTTTTACTTTGTCTGTAAACTAAACAGATTCCTTATCATAAACCAAGCTAATTTAGTTAATTTTAGTTGCCCATAAACTAAAACTAATTCCTTGGGAATTTGAGACTAGATCAACATTCTAAAATTGAAGGGCTGATCACCCGCCCTGGGACTGCAGTGACCTAACCATGCGCTCGCTGCTCAGGGTCTCAGGCAGCTAGCTGGCGTCTCCCCGTAACACCTTTTGCCTGCCATCTTGCAGACTTCTGTACTCATGTGCTGTAGTCATGTGAAGACAGTGATGGAGATGGAGATGCAAAACCGCCCTAACTTAGTGTCATCCCAAGCTGCCACTTGGCTGTCTCATCCAGCCCATGGAGGCTATCAGGAGAGAAGGAAGGGAACTGCTGTCGGCACTCCTCAGCTTTCCCCCCACCCAGACTAAGTCAGATTTCCACGTGGCCTTTCTGCTTGGTGTTACCAGCGGGTGGTGTCATTCCCCAAGTCACCCGCACAGAAGGAAATGACAGCAGCTGCGCTGTTGCTTCAGAGCTCAGCAGGGCAGGCGACCTGAGCAAGAGGCTCTGGTGGGATAACAGGAAGGGCACAGAAAATACTCTCTTCCAAATAGGCATTGAAGATTCTTTCAAGTATCTTGGCGTTTATCCCCTTAACATTTATCTACTTGCTTATTCATGTCCACATGTTGTGTGACATACGCTGGCACCTGAAGACTTCTCTGTCCCACTGCCTGCAGGTGTACTGGCACTCCAGTGCTCACATTCTCGGCGAAGCCATGGAACTCTACTACGGAGGCCACCTGTGCTATGGCCCCCCCACTGAAAATGGATTTTACTATGACATGTTCATCAGAGACAGGTAACGTCGCTGAATACTGGCCTCTGAATGCCTGTGTTTATACTGCATCGTTTTATAATGGGTACCTGTTAGCTTAGTCACTGTTTAGTCACTGTCGGATAATGTGACCATAAATTGGTTAACCATTTGTGAAAGTTGTTTTTTAATGAGTTTAGATTCAAGGGGTGCTTTGCCAATGTTTTTGTTCTTTTCCCTGGAATGAATGACATGATATGCTATGTCTAATGTAAGACTTGCTAGAGCATCATACTACTAATCAAGAGCAGAATCGCAGCTTACTTCCTAGAGAGCAGTTAGTTCTGCTCCTAAGGGGTGCTTTGCCAATGTTTTTGTTCTTTTCCCTGGAATGAATGACATGATATGCTATGTCTCTAATGTAAGACTTGCTAGAGCATCATACTACTAATCAAGAGCAGAATCACGGCTTAATTCCTAGAGAGCAGTTAGTTCTGCTCTATGATGATCAGGGTGATGTGGTAGAGGCCTCCCATTCCACAGGCCTGTGCTGGAAGTCATTAGCAACTGCGCAGCCCTGTATTCCTTGTAGCTCAAAGATGCCACCAGCTGCTGAAATTGCAACCTTGGGCCCATGCAATTCCCCCATACTCCTCACTGTCACCCTGTCTTACAGCAGCTCAACCTGGTTCTATTGGTGTTGTCTCCTAAACAGCTCTCTCATCCTCTTCTTCCCTCACTTCTATGTTAACTTAGACCCATGACAATCTTTTACCTGATCACGTACAGTATGTTTTGGCTTAGTGCTTAATGACTCTGTAACTGAGCAAGCAGCAGTCTGTAGCTACAGACTGGTGCAGTCTGGACAACTTTTACTGAAAACTAAGAACAGCATTTACCTACAACACCACTGACACCAAAGGTGTGAGGTTTTGCCGTATCAACAACTGATTCACTAACTCTGGACACCAGGTGTCCAGATATTCTGTTTAATTCTGACACCAGTTATCCAGAGTTAGCACAGACACCACAAGACTGCCCCAGTTTACCATGGCAGTCCCAAATCCGGGCCTCTCATGCTTCTGACTCACCAGTTATAAGTCAGCTCCTAGGAGCCACTCTTTGGGTCCAATAACTTGTTAGAGTGGCTCACAAGACAGAGGAAGGCACTTTTCTCACATGTGCTGGCTTATCATAAAGTTACAGAGGATACCAATGAACAGATAGATGGAAGAGAGACCCGGGGCAAGGTCTGTGGGATGGGGCAGGGCTCCCTAGTGGCTGCACCACCTCCTAGCACCTCAACATCTTCACCGTCCTGGCAGCTTTCTGGACTCTTAGAACTTTTAATGAAGGCTTAGTAACATGGGCACAACTGAGGAAATCATCGACCACTGATGTTCAGTGAACTCAGTCTCCAGCCCCTTTCCCCTCTCTGAAGGTCGGGGTGAAGGTTCCCACCCTCTGATCATGCGTTGGCTGCATCACCTCCCATCTGGAGCTGTCAGCTCCCCAGTCCCTCACTCCAGAGAATCTGTCGTATCACAGTGTCATTTATACCCAGCAGCATCTCTTGTACACCACTCCAGATGTCATCCTGTTCAGTTCATCTGCTCTGTCCTTGGTACTGAGGACTAAGCAGTGATCAAGTCAGTCTGTCCGCATGGAGCTGACAGTCAGCTGAGGGAAGACACGGCAAACAAACAGCCAGCCGTCTGCAGTCAGATGGTGATGAATGTACAAAGGAAAACAGAGCCAGGGTGGGCAGACGTGTGCCATGCCAAGCGGGTGATCGGGAAAGGACAGAGACAGTGAAGCAGACGGAGAGGATCAAGCCCCGAGGAAGCTGGGAGGGGAGAGCGGCCTGGGTCTCTGTGGGGATGTGTGTGGCTGATCTGAGCATGGAAACCAGTGTGGCAGGAGGGGAGTGAGCCCCGGCTGGGAGTGACTGAAAGGTAACTTAGCAAGACCCTCACTCGTAAGTAAGGGACTGAAGATATGTATGCAAATGCCCTGGGTTCAATCCCTGGAACTGTCAAAAAAGAAAAGAAAAGCTGCGGTGTGTATGAATGTTTGTTTGGCTCTCTGCAGCCCTGGTACAATAAAACACTGTCTCGGTTCAGCAAGTGCATCTACTAGTGCTGAAGGCTCTAGGCCGGAGGAGGAGGGGCGACACAGCGGACGGAAGACCTGTATTGATTCTCTGGGACTCTTATTTTTAGAGCAGTGTCCAGCACCGAGTTGGCAGTCCTGGAAAACATATGTAAAACCATCATAAGAGAAAAGCAGCCTTTTGAAAGGTTGGAAGTCAGCAAGGAAACCCTCCTGGATATGTTTAAGGTAACGTGGTAAACTCTTAAAACCCTTTACTAGGAATGTAAAAGTGAAGAGCAAAACTAGGTCCTCACCACCGCCAAAGGTAGCTTTGCTCCTCCTGCGGCTAGAAAAGAAAAGCTGCGGTGTGTATGAATGTTTGTTTGGCTCTCTGCAGCCCTGGTACAATAAAACACTGTCTCGGTTCAGCAAGTGCATCTACTAGTGCTGAAGGCTCTAGGCCGGAGGAGAAGGGGCGACACAGCGGACGGAAGACCTGTATTGATTCTCTGGGACTCTTATTTTTAGAGCAGTGTCCAGCACCGAGTTGGCAGTCCTGGAAAACATATGTAAAACCATCATAAGAGAAAAGCAGCCTTTTGAAAGGTTGGAAGTCAGCAAGGAAACCCTCCTGGATATGTTTAAGGTAACGTGGTAAACTCTTAAAACCCTTTACTAGGAATGTAAAAGTGAAGAGCAAAACTAGGTCCTCACCACCGCCAAAAGTAGCTTTGCTCCTCCTGCGGTCCCATGGTCTGCTGACTACGTGAGGCTGTCCCTGGTCACTTCCTGTGCTGTTTCTGCCCTCATCTGTTTCCTGAGAGATTCCAAGTGGACTAGGTGAAGGGGCAGGTGTATAATTTTCCTATGTGTGTTTGTAAATCTGATTAATTTTGAATATGTATTACTAATATCTGACTACTGGGAATACTTTTTATCTCAGAATGAAGTGTTATCTGCTTCTAGAGTTGAGAATAAAGCCCATTAACAGCATTAAATTAAAAAAGTCTTGACTGCTAAATTCAACAGTATGTATAATCTCCTACAGTATTGGGCATTTTCTCTTTTTAGGACAGTTCTCTGTTAATTTTATTTTCAAATTTTAACCCCGGGCTGGGAGTATAGATCAGTGGTACAGCCTGCATGAAACCCTGGGTTCAATCTCTAGCCAAGTGAAAACAAGATTCTCATCTGTGGTCAGCTGTGTAGAACATTAACGTTTTCTCATATTATATTGCTCTGACCAGTTTCCTTAAGTTTATTTCTAGTTTTATTTTTAAATCATATATTTCAGAGAACACATTTTAAAAGAATAGTAGCATAGTTTTATGAGATTGAATTAAAAAACACCAGATTGTAATTGCATTTGCTTTTTTCGTGTGGCAGAATATGTATAACATTCATCAATTTAACAGTTTTTAAGTGTATATTTCTGTGGTATTAAAAACCTCCACATTGTGCAGCCGCCACTGGTATCCACTCACAGAATATGTCACTTTCTAGAAATAAAACTTCCTGTTAAACACAACACCTCGTTCCCTCTTACACTGCCCCTGATAGCCACCATTCGCGTTTCTGTCTCTGAACTTCACTTCTCAGGGAACCTCATCTTAGTGGAATCGTTCAGTATTTGTCCTTTTGTGTAGGTTCATTTGTGTGGCAGCGTGTGGCAGGGTTTTCCATCCTTTGTTAAAGCCAAGTAATACCGCATTGTGTGTCCCTAGCAAATTTTATTTGTTCATTCTATGTGACTGCTGTTGATAATGATGCTTATGAATATGGGCGTGCAAATTTCTGTACGAAATACTGGTTTCACTTCTTTTAGATATATACTCAGAAGTAGAATTGCTGGATCATATGGCAACTTTTAAGTTTTTCAGGACCTGCCTTACTATTTCCCAGTCCCACCAGCAAAGCACAGACATTTCATTCTTGCCAACATTTGCTATTTTCTGTTGGTTTACAGTCGCCATCCTAATGGATGTGAAGTCCTATCTCATTGCATTTTTGATTTCATTTCTCTAATGACTTAGTAACATTGAGCATCTTTTATGTGGTTTTGGCCATATGTGTATCTTCTTTGCATTCTTTGTAGAACTTTCTAGTCAACTCCTTTGCCTGTTTTCAAATGAGTTTTTTTTTTTTTGTTCTTTGTTTTGTTGTTGTTGTTGTTGTTGTTGTTGTTATTGTTGTTTTTGAGCCAGGGTCTTGCCTTTTATGTGGTTTTGGCCATATGTGTATCTTCTTTGCATTCTTTGTAGAACTTTCTAGTCAACTCTTTTGCCGGTTTTCAAATGAGTTTTTTTTGTTGTTGTTCTTTGTTTTGTTGTTGTTGTTGTTGTTGTTATTGTTGTTTTTGAGCCAGGGTCTTGCTTTGCTGTCTAACTGGCTTCCTAAGCAGCTGGGGCTACAGACACACCCTGCTATTATTTTGGTTTTGATACCATAATATACTTTGAATAGCAGTGCCTCAATAAATGGGTGAGTTGTGGACGTTTTCTTCCATTCTGTGGGTTCTCTTTCTCTGAAGCCATTCTTAAGAACTGAACACATCAGTCTTTGTGAAGGAAAATGATTTGAGTTGAATGTGTAGGTATGCAACAGTTAAATGCACAAACATGTTTTTTTCCTGTCAACAGCTACTTCTTTTAAGTGGTTATTTAATGTACTTTGATAGTAATCATAATAGTAAAAATAAAAAAAAGGAAAAATTACATTAGCATTTTAATATAATATCATTGCTTCCTATGAACTGTTTTTATCCAAATGAATAAAATAGCTGTACCGATGTCAGAATTTCACTTCATGTAGTCAAAATTGGATCTTCTAGAATAGCCGATACATTAAAAATATAAGGGAATATACAAACTGAACAAACAATATGTGTGGTGCCACCACCTGCCTTGCAAGTGCAAGAACCCATGTTCGATCCCTGGCACTAAAAAAGAAAAGAAAAGAAAAGAAAAATGAACCACATGTGTTATCTTAAGTTTTGTAGCAGCTACAGTTAAAAATGAAAACAAAGGTGAAATTAATTTTTAATAAAATTTTATTTAACCCAATAAAAATTGAACCCAATAAAACTCATTTGAGCATGTAGCCAGTATAAACAATAAGTAATGAGCCACTTTATAGTTCCCTGACACACACACTGTGCCTCCCAGGTTCCAGGTGCTTTGCACTTGCAGCTCATCTGAGTGTCCATAGCCGTGCAGGACACAGGCCCGACTGGACAGTGCAACTCCGGGCTGCAGCTCCCCGTGTCCTTCGTGTGTCAGCGCCTGGCACACAAGAGACACCCTCACTGGTATTTGAAAAAAGCAGAGGTTTTTTCATTCACATATTTTGTGTAATAATATGTAAATGTTTTTCTTTGTAGTACAATAAGTTTAAATGCCGCATTCTGAAGGAGAAGGTCAACACTCCGACTACCACAGTTTACAGGTGTGTGAGCATAAAGTTAAGTTCTACTCTGTGGTGAGCTTGAAGGGTTAGCAGTAGCAGCAGACTTTGTTTTCTGAAGAGTGGTTTATTTGTGCAATTGTGTATCTGATTATTGCTTTAGTTAGCCCCAAAATTTTATCACAAGGAGGAAATTCTTATTTTCTCCTTTGTAGTTATCAGGATGGCACGGAGATTCAGTTTTTATCTTCTGGGAATCAGCTATTGTAAGATCTTTCTCCCTTTCAGCTATTGTAAGATCTGTCTCAACTCAGTGCCTTACATAGAGAAGGGGCTTTCTGTTTCCTCTTTCCACATTTTTTTTTCTGATGTTACTGAGGATTGCACTCAGCACCTGTGTATTAAGCTATATTCCCAGCTTTTAGTTTTTCTTCTGAGACAGCGTCTTGTAATCTTCCTGCCTAAGCCTCCCAGGACACTGGCATCACATTCTTGTTAACATAGCGGTGGGAGCCACATAGGCCGTCTCCTCCACAGTGACCCTCTGCCTCACACCGCGCTCTGCGGTCCAAAGTCCAGGTATATCAGCCCTCGCCGCTAGCAGGGTGTTCGTGATGAGCTGTGCGAGGTCAGGGAAAGCGGAGGAAGAAGGGTCAGATGCTAAGAGGCGAACTCAATTCCAGAGTTGCTTAGTTCTGTTTCCTTAACATGAGGCTCCTGAGCCACTTTAATTTATCAGCCTTTTAAACTGCCCCAGGTAGTTGCTGTCCCCCCTTTCTGTGTTCCTGCTGTTGGCACCTTCACGGTCCTGTCCTATCATCTGTAGTTATGATGACAGATATTCTCCACCAGGGCACTGATTTTCTGTCAAGTCCTACGGTTCCCTGGTGTGATGGTCCTGTAAGTATAGTCACATCTCCTTTGGGCAAGGCTTAAATGTAATGTGAGCTCATTACCCTCTGACGTTCATGGGGGATACTGTGTTTATCTTATTTTTATCACTGTACTTGCACCTAGCAAGATTTTATTATTTTTCATCTATAATGTGAGTGTTACTATTAACCATTTTAAAGTTTAAAAATAAATGAAGGTATAGAAGAGAAAGGCTAAGTTTTAACTTTCTGGCTCCTAATTCTTGGCCTTTTGGGTTCAAGGTCAATTTTTAAAGAAATCTACTTAGGTCAACATTAATACTTCTATTTTGCTTCTGACACTGACACTTCTTACTGGGTGTAGTGGTGCACGACTGTAATCCCAACACTCAGAAGGCTGAGGCAGGAGGATTACTGCAGATTCAAGGTCAGTCTGGGCTGTATAGTTCAAGACCAGCCTGAACTACATAGTGAAACCCTGTCTCAAAAAACCTAAAAAAATTGACCCTTCTTGTATCTTATGAATTTGAACAGCTTGTATTTAATTTTTGAGAAAAAAGTCTTTAGTTCTAAGGGAAATTTTTTTTTTTTTTTGGTACCGGGGATCAAACTTGGGTTCTTGTGCTTGTGAGGCAGGCAGCGGAACCACGGAGCTAAGTCCCCAGCCCTTCTAAGGGATTTTTAAAGATCAGAATATTGAAGGCTCTTGTGCTGCTCTGGCACACCTTCCCTGCTGAGTGTTAGGTAATGCCTCCATCTCAAGGAATGGCTCAGAAGTTTGCTTGTTCAAACAATTGGCATTTCATGTTTAGAGCATTACTTTATTTGCTAGTCTATTGTCGATCCTTTTTTGTATTCATTGTAATTTTTAAATTTTTTCACCAATGAACTTTAGAAATATTTCAAATTGGTTGGGATAGTTAAGGCAGTGCTTTCTTTACTAAATTTTCCTTCAGTTGGCTAAACTTAAGTAACTTTTGGTCTTACCTATATTATTTATATTTTACTCTATTGATATTTTTGTACTTGACGAAAAGTGTGTACTTATTAAGACTTGGGGGTCCTTGTTCATTGTATGTGCAAACAGAACCCCAGCTGTAGCCCAGCATGTTTTGATAATGATCTTAACTCTTGTCTGAGGTTTGTTTCATAAGTTATGTTCTCTTTTAATGAACTGAGAGACAATGAGGCATTTCATCATAAAACCAAAGAATCTGAAACAAGTAAAGAAAGCCTTGGCATTTACTTTTTTCTTTCTTTTTGCTTTTGTTATCTTTTGACATCCATTTTTGAACTGAAATAGCCAGTGAATATGTTGTGAGTAAATTTCAGGTGATTTCAGTCTTAAAAATTAGTACCAGGGACTTAGTTTAATTCACTAGAGCACATTAGTTAATTAGAGGGATGGCTTTTTGATTTTTATGACAGTGGAAAGTTCATTGAGAGCCTTGGGTGTGACAGACAGTTCAAAGCGGCATCTCTGTATGCAGTGTCTTTCAGGCGTTTGATTGTGATGTTTACTCTGAGGCTCTCTGAATTGCCTCTCTCCTCGACCCTAAATCAAACATTTCTCCACCACATAGACATAAGTAAAACTCTTCACTTAAAACATGAGAATATGGCTATTAATGAGGAGTCCAAAAAGCTGTAACTGTCCTCATGTGCCACGTGTTTCATTACAGGTGTGGTCCACTAATTGACCTGTGTAAGGGCCCCCATGTAAGACACACGGGAAAAATTAAAAGCATAAAAATTTTCAAGGTAAGGATTTTTTTTTTTTTACTTACAAATGCAGTAAACTTAAGGTAAACTAGAGGATTAAAGGATTTCTGTCATATTTTCACAGTTTGAACATGATGGCATTTAAAAATACCTTATTCTTCTTTGATTAAAAGTAATACATTTTAGAATTTTGCTAATTAGAACTCTGTATGTGCTTTTGTTCATTTAGCCTCATTGAAAGTACTGAAATGCATTTCTTTTTCATGTGATAGTTAAGAATATCACTGTGTGTATAGTTGGCCTCTGTATCCACGGGTTTTACTTTTCTGGATTTAACTAACTGTGGAAGGAAAATATCTGAGAAAAAAATCATATCTAGACTGACCACATGCAAGCTTTTTTGAGTCACTGTTCCCTAAACGATGCAGTGTAGCAAATCTATACATATCCTATACTTTGTGTTAGTACTCTGGAGAGGATGTAAAGTGTGCAGGGAGATGAGGGTAGGTTCTATGCCATGTAATGGGAGAGTCTTGGGCATCCACGTATTTTGGTATCCTTGGGAAGTGTGGAACCAATTCCCTACAGAAACCAAGAGAGAGCTGTACTGTTTTTCTTGAATCGTCTAATGTGAGCAAAAATATTAGTCTACAATAAGAATAATGTAGGAAAAAGGAAAAACCAAAGGGAATGTGATGGTGTAATAGAGAAAAACGTTGTTTTGGCAATCGAGAGGTGCAGGGCTAACTTTGCAGTCTTTGCCTCTTTTGGCCTTAGTTTTCTCACAAGTAGAATGTGGGGCCACATGACAGCTTTACCCCTTATGCCCTTCACTCTGAGCTATAGGTCAGTGAGGCCGGTCTCCCCTTTCCGGGGTCTCCTGCCTCTTCTGCTCCCCTCTGGGTCATCATAGTTGCTCTTCGGCATTCCCTGTCCATCCCTCTCACTTTCGTTCCTGGAATCCATAGCGGACTCTACATAATTGACTGATAAGTAGTGTAATTTGGGCTGGCAAGTTTTAATTAGAATCAATTTCAGATTCTTCCCAGCAGTACAGAAAGTCTTCTGAAAGTTAGCAATATGGATGTTGCAGTGGAAAATTGTATATGTGGTTTTACGTGTAACCAGATGTTTGATATGTTGGTCAGAATCTTGTTTGCTGTTTAGAATTCCTCAGCATATTGGGAGGGCAGTCCTGAAATGGAAACATTGCAGAGGATCTATGGGATATCCTTTCCTGATAACAAAATGATGAAAACCTGGGAAAAGTTCCAAGAGGATGCCAAGAACCGAGATCACAGGAAAATTGGGAAGGTATGCCTCACATCCTCACAAGCATGCCTTTCTATTGCCTTATGATCATGTCTCATAAAACTAACTTTTAAAAACAATTTTTTTTCTCCTGTCTTCTTTTTTGCTGGTATTCATTGCCTGCTATTGAGTTCTTTCATGCTAATGCCTTAAGTTCTTCTAACCACTCTCCTTCCTGTATTTTTTATAAGATTTTAAAAAGTATCCCCTTCTCTTACCATGGTATAAAAATAAAATTGTTTTTTTAAAAATTGTGTACACTTGATAGCACACTGCATTTGGGAGGCAAGGCCGTGTATGGAAAGAATGAGATTTGAAAACAAGTTTTGCTGGGTTTTTTATCTCAGTCTTGGCACTGACCACCGCGATCTGTGATGGGCCCGTGTCCTCTTAGGGAACTCCCCACCCTTGTGTATCTTATGGGGTGGCCTGCAGGGTTGCTGTGAGGACGGACACTGGATGGTGGTGCCCAGTGCCCAGCAGACTGAGTAGGTGACAGCCAGGAGAATGACCATCAGCGCTTGAAGCCACCTCTTGCAGTAAACTTTTCTGAGTTTTTTACCTTGCTGTCTTGACATGAAATCCGTGTTCTAAATGCCACATAAGAAAACTAATGGTAGGTAATAACAGATTCCAGAAAAATCAAGTTCAGTGCTAAGTAACCATACATACGAATTGTAGTTTAACATGCTGTATCACATGCAGTTAGGGATAAGTACTTAGTGGCTTTGGAAAGCCTGCCTGACCCGTTTTACCCCTCATGTATTGCGTGAATGAGAAATAGTAACAAAAGATGAAATTAGAAATGTATTTTTGTTTCATTCTAGGAACAAGAGCTCTTCTTTTTCCATGATCTGAGTCCAGGAAGTTGTTTTTTTCTTCCTAGAGGAGCCTTCATTTATAATACACTTACAAATTTCATTCGAGTAAGTTAATTTTTAAAATATTTTGTTCTTATTCAACTGTGTTTTATGATTTTCTCCCATAGTAAATGGTGAAGTGTTTCCATTCATTTTATTGTAGTAATGTGAAATGAATTTTGAACCTAAAAGCAAAATATCAGTTTGTGCCTTCCAATATAAACATGGAAATAATTTCTTTCCCTGAATGCATTTTTAGATTTCATAACATGTACCTAGCATCAGTATAAACCTCTATGGTATGTAGAATGTACAGAGAAGCATTAGAAAAGGTGTAGATCAGCTGGTGACACAGGAGAAAAGAGAAAGTGTCTTTGGCACAAGATGCTAAACTATGAAGCATTGCTTCTCACCAAGTGGCCTGAGGGCCACTGCTACTCCTCTCTTATCTGTGGAAAGACTCCCAGGAGATTTGGCAGCTTCAGAGAAGCATGGAAAAACAATCGTGTAAAATACCTGTAATGTAAGTTTATAGATCGGAAAGTCATTGGTGTTTGCATAGTTAGAACTATACAGATACTGTTCAGAGCTGATCTATGTACATTACTAGGATTGCATTTCCATCTTGCCCTTCCTATAGCTAAGAGTTACAGTGATGTACCACACAATGATATTTCAGCCAGTGACAGATTGCATATATTATGGTGTTCTTATTAGATTGTATTGCTAGGCAGTCTTACTGACCCATAAGATGATTTTGTTGTGGTCAGCTTGGTTTGTGTAACTGCATGCTGTGATGACAGTGAAACAGCCTAGTGAAACAGTTCACAGAATGTGTCCCTTTCATTAAACAACACATGACTGGTCCCTGAAATTTTGGATTTCTATGTGCCTGTCACTAACTTACCCTCAAAAACTCAAACTCATTGTAGCATATTCTGCAATGTTTTTTTCTGAATTTGGTCCTTTCATTCCAACACTAACTTGATACCATGATTCTTGTATGTGGATGTCTTAGGACCTCTTTTCATCATCGTTCTGGTTACTCCTTCCTGTCTCTACCATTCTGAATCCTTTCTTTCCTGATCCCTGCCTCTCTCTTCCTTCAGTCACCTTTACTCTCACTTGAGAAAGCACTTTCTTCAGGAACTTTCTGAGAAAGGGGTACATAGAATGTACTGCTTCTTGTATTTGCTTTCCTTGTCTTGTTTTCCATCCTTCTTTTGTTACTGTGCCCTGGAGCCTGACGCTGACCCTGTGGCCTGTCACCTGCTTATGCTTTAGGGGTTGGCCAGTATGGGGCAATAGTTGAACAGAGGGCGGAGAGGTGAGATTTGAAGTACTGAAGATTGTTAGAGATTTGGGCAGGTGGAGGTGACCAGTCACAGCTGTGCTATCTTCGCTGGAAGATCAGCACAGCCCCTGGCACCTGTGACTCTCAAGGTTCATGGTGGAACGGGTACAGAATAAACAGAAAGTCTTTGTGGTGGCCTTAAAGAGCTCTCTTATCTTTTATAGATACAAGACAGACATGGCTGTTGGTCAGGCTCAAGGCCTGATTGTGTGGGTTGCAGATGTAAAGGCATTTAAGTTACAGCCACAGTGGTCTCTAATGCTAAGGTAAGGGCATTGGTTGGGAAGGAGTGGGTCTTTGAGGCTTGGAATGAGAATATGTAGCAGATGCAGATGAGGCTGAGCACTTTGAGTTTCCAGGAAACTTCCTTGAAGAAATTGGTCTTTTCGTGCAGAAAAAATATCCAGGGACTTTAGCTGTTTTTTTCCCTTGTTCAGTTGGATGAGTTTGCCTCTTCTCCCCACATCTAGCAATTTTTTATTATATAAAATTACAGTAGCAGATCTAATGATGCTTTTTCTTATTGGAGCTTTTAGCTCTGCCAGGATTGAAGATTGATCAGTTATTCTGATCAGAGATTGAGCTGGGTTAGGCTGGGCTTCCATTTTAATGAGAATCACCCTAATTCTCTTTCATCCCTGTCCCTTGGACATGGCCCTCTGGGGTTTCCAGTTGACATGCTGATGGATCTGTGGCTCTTCAGCCCCAAATGATTGAAGGAAAGTCAATTCTGCCCCTCTAATGTGCTCTGTTACTGAATAACACACTATTTCTTTTTAATGTTTTATTTGTGTCAGTACTGTTTGCATTCCTGATAGGAAATTGGTACATGTACATCTTAATTCTTTTTACTTTCCCTTCCCCTCCCTTCCAACACCCTACCCTTATCTCTTGGACTTCTTCCTATTTGCAAAAGCTCTATCTCTCCGTTTCCTGTTATCTTTTATTTTGCCTTCTTCCATTAGCAGAAACGTGAGACAGGACTCGGTTGGTCCTTTTGGTCACCAAATGGGGGAAGGTGTGTACGTGGGGTAGATCACCAGCAGTGCCAGACTGACTCGTGGGCTATGGGGCAGCCTGGTATCAACAGCCTCTGGCTCAGTGCCAAGGACTAGGTTCAGGGAGTTGTGGCCAGAGTGGTGGGGGCTGTGGTGCTGCGCACAGTGGCCCGTGCAGAGGCCATCTGCTGTGGAACCATTTTCCTCAGAACTAGAGCTGCATTTCTGCAGAAGGTCATGCAGGAGGCCAGAATGGGCATGTTCTTCCGAACACAAGGGTAATTCCAAAGCTCTAGGCTAAGATACCGCTTCTACTGAACTTTGGGTAAGCTTACTTCTATATCTTTTTGCTCTATTCAGGGGCTCAACAGATTGGACGTTGCTCACTTACAGGGTACCCAGAAATAGTGTTTGTCTGGGAACCCATGGAGCAATCAAACCAGCACAGAAGTCACCATCACAGATGTAAGCCGGAGTCGGCCTGGGCCAGGACAGGCAGTGGCAAATGCAGGAGAGCCAGCACGGGCATCCCTTGTGCCTCTCGGCGTGTATTTCTGTCACTTGCCTGGATGACCCTTGTGTTATCACACAGTCTCATCCATTATTGGTCATCCTGTGTTTATTTTCACCTAAAATCTATGTTGTGAGTTCAGCCACTGTCAGTGCTCTTCATGTAAGAGTAAGAGGAAAAGACATAATTAGGAGGAACTATACATGCTTAGCTTCTGTGGGTAGACATGAGGCTTCAGATGAAAAATCAGAGCTTCCTTTTCTGTATTAGGGTCTCTAGAGGAAAAGAATCAATAGAAAAAAAATATATATATAATTATATAAAGGTATTTATTGAATCAGCCTCCAGGATCAAAAGCGGGAGAGTCCACCATGACCAGCCAAGGGATCATAGGCAGGAGAGTCCACAGTGGTTGTCTGTGGGAGCAGACGTGGAAGATCCTTAGTGGCTGTCTGCTTGCTTGAGAGCTGGAGAATCTAGTAGCTGCTCAGCCCAAGATCAAAGCCATAGAACTGAAAGGATTAAGATGTAGCACCCGTCCAAGGTCAAAGGCCTGGGAGCTCACTGCAGAGTTGCTGCATTGGTGGGTTGAAGAAACTGGGGACCAATGTTCAGAGGGGATGGTAATGACTGGAGCTTTTCAGAAAATTGTATACCTCCTTCCTTCCCTTTTTTATTCCATCCGGGCTATAAGCCTATTGGTTGTTGCCATCCACATCTGGAGTGGGTCTTCTCTCAACAGTCCACTGCAAAATTAAGGTGGTAGCATGGCCTGGCTCCCTTTAAAACCTATAGGGGATCCTCCCTTGCCTCTTAGCTGCTGGGGGTTTGCCAGTCACCTGAGTTGCTCCTTGGCTTGTGGAACCATCACCGCAGTCCTCCATTTTCTCTTGATTCCTCCAATTTGTCTTCACATCATCTTCCCTCTATGCACACCTCTCTCTGTGTCCAATTTTCTCCTTTTTATGACACTAGGCATAGTGCACATTCTAATGACCTTGTCTAAATTCTATTGCACAGTAAAGACCCTCTTTCTAAATAAGCTCACATTCTGAAATACTGGAGTTAAAAATATCTTTTAGGGCAAATATAATTCAACTCAGGAGTGCATGGTTCAGATCTTCCCATAGGATCCAAGTTAGCAATCCTGCCTTCTTGGGGTTGCCACAGTTTCTCACTGACTTATGGAGAACGTGGGAACATTTTGATGGTATTGCAGATGTGGTCCTGACTCCGCTGCGTAACAGCAGCACAGTTACCCCCACTAGTTGGGAGCAATCATCTGACAAGTGTGGTAAGTCATTCTCTGCCTGAGGGGTCCATAGCAAAGGGAACCCAGATGGGCAAGGGACAGTCTCAATTCCCAGCCAAAGCATATCTTGGTTCAGTTGGGGGAAGAATTCTTCTCCTGTGTGTAAAGACACATACTGAGAGATCCCAAAGCTTCAGGGATGAAAAAGAGATTGTAAATGTTTCCAGAGAGAAATATCCAGAGACATAGGACTTGGTATCAGAATGGCATTGATATTTTCGATAGAAAACTAAAAGACAGAAAGCAGGCACAATGCCCTAACAACAGGAAGACCAGCCCAAGGAGGCTTTTTTTGCTGTTTGCATTTCTTCTTCTGAGATGTGTCTGTTCATTTCAGATGCCCATATTTGTACTGGGTCTTTAAATGTGAGGGAGTCTGATTCATTTGGGTTCTTTATGTATTCTAGATGTTAGCCCTTTTTATGAGGAGTAGCTAGTAGAAATTTTTTCCCATTCTGTGAGTTGTTTCTTCACTCTGTTGGTTTCTTTTGCTGTGCAAAAACTTTTTAATTCAATACCATCCCAGTTGTTGACTCTGTAATATTTCCTGTGCATTTGGGATTTGGTCATAAAGTCTTTGCCTATAACTATATCTTCTAGAGTTTTACCTATTCCATCTTCCAGCAGGTTGTTTCTGTTTTTATATTTAAATCTTTGATCCATTTTAATTTTAGTTTAGTGCATGGCACGAGATACGGGTTTAGGTTCAATTTTCCACATGTGGAAAGCCAGTTTTCCTAGCACCATTTATTAAAGAGGTTATCTTTCTTCTAGTTAAGATGTTTGGCCCCTTGTCAAGGACGAGGTACCTGAATGTACTTGGAGTTGTTTCTGCATCTTCTGTTCTGTTCCATTGATTCTTGGGTCTGTTTTTTTGCCAGTACCATGCTG